CACCATGGCCAAGGTGGAGAAATCGAAGACAAGGTAGAGGTCCACCAGGGAGGAGGCGAGTGGGATAGAAGAGGCTGAGTGGGGGAGCTAAGAGTCACTGCAACAGGGTAGAGGCGACAAAGAAGGCATAAGAGGAAAGGCTTGGGGAAGCGGAAGAGGATAGGAGAGAGAAAAGTAGGGGACATGTGGTGATGGATGGGGGAACCTCCTCGAGATGAGAGGAGAGGCAGGCACGTGTCGGTCCCTCTGTCTCTGGGATAGGAGAAGCTGGTCGTGTATTGGTTGTCGGCTGTTTGAAGAGGGAGAGGTGAGCGGCTTCACAAGACTAGGGGCACTGGATGATGCCAAATGGGGGGAGGGGCTACGTCGAACCTCAAGATGGGGCGAACTAAAAAGAGTCACATGATGGGGGGAATGGGATGTAGCCACGTGGTGCACCAAACAGTGGTTGATCGCAAGATGCTCCTCGAGGAGAGGGGGGGAGACTAGGTTTGGATTGACATCGGCCTTCGGGGGAGAGAATGAGTCGGTGCCTCGGTGGGGGGTTAGGTTAGGGGGGTTGGGGAGCAATCATTGTCATAGGTCTGGGGGGTTTCGGGATACAACCTATGATGGGTCCTGTAGTGATGGTTCTTGTTCCTAAGGCCGCATTTGCAGATGACTGTAGCCCATTCGTTGTGGACCATGGAGGTAAGGGTGGAACCATGGTCCTAAAAATGATGGCGAGATGGACGGGAGGCCATGGACCAGGACACAAGAATGCAAAAAAACAGGTCGTCAACTTCTAACCAGAGAACAGGGGGGGATAAGGAAGGGCTCGAGAGTTTGGATAAGTAACTGGATAGTGCCCAAAGGGACGATGTCTAAAGATTTCCAGTGCACTGAGATGAAGGCTCCGTAAGCTTCTCCAATGCATTTGAAAGTTTCGACGTACTAAGCATGGAGGGGTATGTGAGAAGCTCTGAGCTCGATCTTCTAAGATATATTTGGTCCCAGATGCTTGCATCAATGAGAAAAAGACAATGTAGCGCCTTTGAATTGTGGTTTGGTCAACTGCAGTGCCCTGAGAGCAGTACCTTCAAATGGGAAAGAGAAGAGGAAGTCACTGCTAGAGATTTTCCGGCAGGTGAGGTCTGGTTTGAGCCAGAGTTCTTTACCCCACTTTCCTATGCCTCTGAGGTCATCTCTGTGAGGTGGCAATGGCGAACCAGGGTGTGATTGAAGGATTGATTGAGAAAGGCATCGTGATGGGGCATCGTGATGGGCTGATGGCCTTCCACAGAAATGGAGTTTGCAGCAAGCAGGCGGGAACATGGATGAGGGGGAGAAGGATGGGAGGGATGGGGATTTGAGATGGTAACCGGATTGGATTTGGCTTGTTGGAATTGGTGTGTGTAGTTCTCGTAGAGAGGAGGGAGTGGAAGGTGGGGTTGGCCATTAACAGGAGCCATTATTGCTTTGGAAATGGTATATACATTAACACATATGTCATAGAAGTAACAAACTAAATGGACCATCGATGTACTGGGAAGCTGTAAAAACAAGAGAAGGTGCCCAAGATTACCTCAAGAGACTAGCACCCCATTGCCAGATTTCCACCTTCGATGCACTGGGATCTAAGGCCCACTAAGCTCCAAATGTGGGAAGCCAAAGAAGCATTCAAACTCTCAGATGAGGAGGATGGGTCTGATTTGAGGTGAGAACGGGTGTTCCAAATCAGTAAAATAGCATGCTCCAAATTGTACTCCAATGGAGCTAGTTAGTCCAAGATTCATCGATACAATGGACCATCAAAAGGTGTGGGCTCCAAAATGAATACCTAAGCGGCTCTAATGGCTGATCTTTGTGATTGAATATGAGGCTAAGCTTCACTGATTTTGGCCAAGATGGATTACCTTGAGGCTTATGTGAAGGTGGGCTAGTGGAGTGCCAAGTGTGAGAGTAATGGTGTCGGTTGTGGCCTATATATGCACCAAAGAGCATGGAACATTAAAAAATGCCTATGGTTTGTAGACAAACACCAAGGAGAACTTAAGAGAAGAGGGGTGTCGTGTCTTCAAGAGAAATTTCAGCAGCATAACATTGCCATGAACTAGGCAAAAGTGAGGCGGCCATGATCCTTAATCATAGATGATAGGGGTTGATGTGGGCCTAGAACTTTACATGGAGCAATGTGGACCATTCTAGGAAGTCCATGGGGTGAGAGAGGTTTCATCCAAGCTATCCATCCCTTATCAAAGGTTAGGATTAACACATTATCCCCTAGCTTTCCAAACCCAAAAATTTACAAGTCTAAAAAACTAAACTTTGAAATTGCAAAAATTTTAAATCCATTAACCATATAAGCCAAAATAAAAAGTCAAAATAACATAAATTTACATCCATTGGCATTTCAAACATTTCCTCAAAGTTCAAAAGTTAAAGTTCAAGACATTCCAAAATCCAAAAGTATCAAATATTCAAAACAGTACATAAATTTACATCCATTAGCATCATGATTAGAAACAAAGTCAAACATATCCAAAAATATGAAAGCCTAAAAATATATTTAAAGCCAAATTTCAAAAATAAAAACAAGAAAATGATAAAAAAAGCATAACATAACACAATACTCACAGAAAATATAAAAATATGAATTTACTAATCTCTTGAAGACCAATCGAATTGGACTTGAATCAGTCACATTCAATCGCCAAAATATCTCTTTTGCAACCTCTTTAATCCCCATAAAAGTTCTAGATCAAATGCCTTATGATTTCACTAGAAATCAAAAACTTCAAATTTCAATTCAGTCCTTAAAAAAAAATTTGACTTTCAGCTAAATGCCAAATTAGAGACTTCAGATTAGAATTTGATCATTGAATCAAAAAGCTGTACGCCTAGTGCCTTGGTGGGTTGGGGGGCCCAGGCGCACCACCAAGGCCTGGGCAAACGAACTAGGCAGGCTGTTCCTAGGCGTCCGCCTAGGCGGGCGCTCAAGGGAAGGGACTGCACCCGACTAGGTGGAAAAATACCCATCAGGTGGGGTATTTTTGGTTTTTTTTTTTGTTTGGATTATAAAAAGTGAATGAATATGCATTTTTTATACAAAATATGTACGTAAAATAGGATTATTGGACACAATTTGCCCCAGTTTCGCCTAAGCACCCTCCTAGGCGGTGGGTTGCCTAGACGCCCCCCCCCCCCGGTCGTCCAGACACCATCAGGCATTTTTTTGGAACATTGAATTCGATCCATAGAAAAAATTGATTTTGAGCTAAAAACCTTTTTTTGGGGGCCCTAGTCGAGTTGTGTAGGGATTTGGGGGGCAAAAATGCCCTCTAAATACAATTTTCCTCCTTTCAAAGGGAGGAAAATGACTTTTTTTGCCTTTTCGGCAAGGGCCATTTCCACCCTCACTAATAGGGCCTTGCCTAAGCACTAATCCAAGCAGTACCCTAGGCGACTAGTCAGCCGCCCAAGGTCCGCCGTCCCACAATGAGCAGTGAGGCCTCCCAGCCGCCTGGCGGCCCGCCGAGGTTGCTGAGCAGCCAACTTTTTGAATGAGATACAAATTACTAGGTCATAATATCACATAAACCCATAAAATATACTAACATTTCAATTAAATAGAGTATGTGGAATATAAAATGTAGAGAGAGAAAGAGGGGGGTGCACCACACAAGAAATTTCATCTCTCCATTCACATGAGGAAAGAGATGGAATATCTTTAAGTATCTTCTCTTTAGCTTTAACCAACTCATACATGTGGTAAATCAAAAGAAGGCATGTCGAAATGGTTGCTTTACACATGGGATGGTTCATAGTGACATGTGTCCAGTCATGAACCAAAGACAGTGTCCTTTCACCAATGGGGCCATGTGTGGGCACCAAAGACTCATGTGGGGTCCATTGACCATTTGGACCCATGTGCCATGGTTCGCATGATAGATCCTTACTTGGCATTCTTGAAACTGTTGTTTAAGACCATTTTTGCCATTTAGAAAATTCTCGAAAATTCCCAAAAATTTCCAAAAATCATTTTGTAATATAATTAATAACTCAAATTGTTTAGGCTACTAGAAAAATTATCAAAAGAAATTAGGTGCCTTAGCTTTAGAATCACATATCTCAGGTACTCCACTCGGCTCACCCCAAAACCCTCTTAACAATTTCTCAAACCGACCCAAAGGACACCCATGATCCACAATGTCCAGCAAAGGCTCATGATTGGCCCATCAAAGCCAACTAATAGACAGTAGAATTTTGGGGTTTAGGATACTACAAATACACTCCTAAGGACAAGCACACAAAGCACCACACAAGGATGCAGGGGTTCCTCTCTATGTACATGTGCACCTTCACCAGGCACTCTCCTGGGAAGGCGGCTTCCCATATGATGCAGCTGTCATATACACATGTTGTGGATGAGACCATGCTGGGGATTTTGCCCTTGTCCTAACGGGCCGCCTCTTCCGCAGGGGAAATACTCTGTCCTAGCTCCAACCACAAGCACACACCAACCTCGATTGCAGGATTACCCTTAAGCACGAGCTCCCACTGGAGCCACCCAATTGTCCCCTTTTAAGCACGAGCTCCCACTGGAGCCAACAATAATCAATAAAATGGTATGCGATACATGGTGTCAAGGCCATAAGGCCAGACAAGTCCAATCGAAGTAAACATCATAACACTATTGAAGAACTAGTAATCAAGTCAGCATTAAAATCATTCAATAAAGCATATTTATGAACCATTGTGATAAAATTCATCCAATACATAGATAATAATTGTTCACAATGTTTTCATGGCAACCACTACACAAAAGTCTAAAAATCTGTCTTCTGTTATTGGGAGACAATGTGAACTCAAATATGCAATCGATATAGTACTAAAATGATCAACTTCAAATGGAGCTAGAGGATCAAGCCTAACGGCTAAAAACCTCATTTATGAAGAAACACAAACTCACCAATCAAATAATCTACATAGAAAACAAAGATAAGAACTGGATAACATACCTAGGAAGAAACTCTGTCACTATTGAAAGATTTGGAGCACGAGTAACTGCTCCCATAAATAGTACAACATTAGGATGGCGCAATCTTTTCATGATCCGAATCTAAGAAATGGGAAATACAAATTAGATGCCGAGGCATTTCTTCATAGTCCACATATGCATAACATGCAGATAATCAATCACAAGCATACATAATAACCCAATTACAAGATGTATAAGATAACCAATAATATCGTTAAAAAAAAAAGGAATTCCAAATGATGAATTCAGAACAAGTGTATTCTGAAATGCATAGAGATATTCACTTTTCAACTTATAAGGAACGCTACAAAGATGAGACATGCTCATTGGAATCAAAATACCATTAACTATGAATTAAACAGCTATACGTTCAAAAGGAGATTGACAAAGACCAAAAAAATAGGAGGATGAGATTATATCTAATAATTAATGTCGGTGTTCATTATCTAAAAAAAAATATTATATGCAGGCATCAAGATTAAACACCAAAATTTCGAGTAAATTTAGAAAAATAAATCACGATATCCAACTAGAAAAAATACTTCAGGTGAAACATATTTTTTCGCTTCATTTGTTTATAACTAGAATAACGGACTTTATACATCCCAATGTACCAAAAAAATTTACGTCATTTAAAAGTGACGAACCCAATCAAGTATTAGGAAACTAAAGATCAATCAATAAAGCAAGGACCAAGCAGAAAGGGCACCTGCATTTTCTTTAAATAATTCTAGATCAAATACTAAAATACTTCCAAAGGCATCAGAACCTGCAAAAGAGAACGGGTTGTAGACAAATGTTGTTAGGGTGGTAAGTGCTATAGTGTGATGTCTGAAGTTCCATCTTCACCAAATCCCAAGTTAACATTCGAAAAAGAATTTACAAAGATATATAATTGTTGGAGTTATGGCCTTTCCAGGCCTTGACCCCACTATCCTATGATAATTCGTGGTCACAATGGGAGTGAATAAGAACGCTTGACTTATCAGATCTCAATGAATCGGGATGCAAAAAGTCACAAAACCCCCGGTCATGAGGCATGTCAAAACGGGCTTAGCCAAAACGGAGAGGTTTGGGGGTCTCCTCTAGCCAAGGTTAGTACGAGAGCTCCTCATGATTGTGTGAGCCAGGGCAAAAGTGCAGGATTTAAGAGTATGAAGTTCCATGTGAGAATAAGCCCTATGAGAAAAGACAAGCCTTAGAGAGGACATCAGCCAAAACCCCTGACCTCAAGCCTTCTCATAGTATATGCATAAACAGTAGTGAATGGGAAGCCGCTCTATCAAGATATGATCCACTCGTTAGAGTTATGCATATGTGCTAGAAGAGAGGACCTCCACATCTGTAAGAGTACATGTCCTTAGGGGTGTACCGATAATCCACTGCAAATCTAGGATTCGCAGTATTCCAAAAAACGTCAAGCAGCGCCTAGGCGACCGGGGCATCCTGGCTGCCCAGCACCTAGGTGGCCACCCTGCTAGGACCTAGGTTGAAGTAGAGAGGTAGAGGGCAGGGGAATACAAGTATATATCATAAAATATTAAAAATCCCATATTTCAAAAAGTTCCAAACCATTCTAAATTGGAAAACGTTTATATAAGGATGCTACCCTATGATGTGGAAATACGAATGCCCCACAAAAATCTATTGGAAAAGGTAGTTTTAATGTTGAAAAACCCTTTGAATGTCATCTCAACATCGAGATGTATGACTATGAAAAATAAAAGGATTTTAAGTCTCAAAAATAATGCATTTTACAACATATTATCTACACCGTCCATTTTCAAGATTTTCATATGTTTATAGATCTACTTGATTTTAACCATTTTTTAAATTTAAAATCTTATAATTAGATATAAAAATAGATTTTGAGATAATCCTAATAACATTTTACATCAAAATTATATACCATGATAAAATTTGAAGGGCACCGTACCTCTACACCTACGGAGGCGTCTATATGCCAACTGCACCCTTCTAAATCTGTAATAGATTTTGCACAACCCAAAATAAAATATAATAGCAATCAGTAAATTAGCAATAAATGCACAATCCATAATGCATACTCCATAGACCATACTCCATGCTCTAAAGTTCATATCATTCCATAATCCATAGTTCCATGCAATGATACAACCATACATGCACACGCATAAGAGTAGATCTGTAGAAACTTAAAAAATAAAAATAAAATTATACCACATCCCCTTGCGAGTAGCCTTTTTTGGGCTTCGCATTTACTTCCCCTGCCCCCATTCTCTGTTTAGGTGCCACGTCCACTGGCCCCGCTTTAACTTCCCCTGCCCCCTTTCTTCTCTCGGGTGCCACGTCTTCTGTCGTGTAGCCCTCAGCCGCCCACTTGTCGCACCTGCTCTTACTGACTCCGCCAGCAAACCGCTCCCCAAGCTCCTACTCTTCCTCATCTACCTCCCCTTTCTCGCCACTTGATGCGCCTCCTATTCTCTCTCCTCCACTTGAGCCAGCCTCTTCACCTACCCCCTGCCTTGTGATCTCCTCCTTTCTCTCTCTCCTTTTGTTGCCCTTTCGCCTTTGGGGGTACCTCAACTTTTTCCCCTGTCGTCAACTTTTTCCCCTGTCGTCTTCTCTCTGCCACCTTCCTTCTCCGTCCTACGCCTTTTTGGCCCCGGCATCCCTTTCCTCTCTTCCCCTTGAACCTGCCCTGTCTTCTCCCCATTCCCCTTCGATAGACGGCCCCCCTTTTCTCTCCGGCTTTGAGGCTCTGCATGCCTCGGACCCCTCCTCCCCTACTCCTGTTTTCATTCCCTCCTCTTTGGCCCCTTTTTCGTCCTCTTTCTCCATTCTGATCTTGCAGGATTCAATCCTCCCACCTTTTCTTCGGTTCCCATTGCTTGTCTCACCACTCTGTTTCTTACTCCCACCTCTTCACCTACCTTGCCTTTCCCTACCTCTCTTACCCCTCTCCCTCCCCCTGGGGACCTAGACATACCTCCTTTGCCAATTCTGACACCTCCCCCCTCTCCCCTTCTTTCTCCTCCCCTGTTGCAGCCTGACCCTTCCCTGGCTCCCTTCTGCTCTACCTCGCCCTCTCCTCCCCACCCTTCCTCCCCCTCTGAACCTTTTCCTTCCCTTCCCTCTAACTTCTACCCCTCTTTTTCTCCTCCTCCCCTTCCTCTAGAGCTAGCCTCAAGCTCACAGGACGACCTTGGCACGCCCGTCTCTCCTCCCTCAGCTAGTGCCAACGAAGAGGGGGTCGATGGGGGCGGGGACGGGTATGACCGCGACTTGGATAGAATGAAGGAATTATTTCCCATTATGGGCTTTTAGCACGATGGCCCTGAAGGTCCCGCCCACCAGTTCTTCCTCGCAGACGCTCAGAGTCGACAGAAGGCGAGCTTTAAAGGAAAAAGGGAGCTCCTTAACCTCTTCTCATCTATCTCTTATGGTGGCCCTTCTACTGTAGACTCCCCCATCACTAACTCCTCCCGCCCTTTGAGGCGGTCTGCCAGATTAGCCTCTATCTCTTCTCCTTCTCCACCTCCATGAAGCTCCTCACATGGAACATCAGAGGCCTAGCACACCCTTCCAAAAGGGAGGCTGTCAAAGACCTGGCCTTGAAACGCCATCCCACTATTCTTGCCCTCACTGAAACTACCCAAGCCTTCTCTTCAAATCATCCATCAGGTTTGGAGTAGAAGGCCTTGCCAGTGGGCCGTCCTACCAACGGTAGGGGCTTCAGGGGGAATCTAGGTGATCTGGGACCCCGCAGAACACCTCCTACAATCCTCACATATTGGGGACTTTTCTGTTACTATCCTCCTGTCTTGCATCTCAAATGGCTTAGAATGGAAATTCTCGACCATTTATGGCCCTTACGCTTCATCCCTGCAGTCTCGCTTCTGGACTGAATTGGACTTTGAGGCTTCCCTTCCTCACTCAGTTTGGTGTTTGGGTGGAGACTTCAATATAACCGGATGGTCTCATGAGAGAAACTCCAGCTCCCACACCTCTCATGGAATTACGGAATTCTCTAACTCATTTTCAAGAATGATCTCTTAGGCATTCCTCTTCAAGGAAACCGCTTCACCTGGTCCAACCACTCTCCCCAACCTAGTCTCTCAAAACTCGACAGGTTCCTTCTAGCCCTGAATTGGGAGGAACGCTTTCCGAGATCCCATGCCATGGCCTTGCCTAAACCCACTTCCAACCATTGCCCCATTCTTCTTGGCACCCAAGCCCAGAATAGAGGTCCAAAACCTTTCAGATATGAACTGGCATGGTTAGAAGAAAAATCCCTATCATCTTTGATTCCCACCTGGTGGAACTCATTCTCTGGCCAGGTAGCGGGAAGAGCAGGTTTCAAACTCCAATTTAAAATTCAACTCCTTAAAGCCTCCCTTAAAACTTGGAGTCGATCCATCCCAGGAAACTACTCCCAAGTTAAGTCCTCTCTTCTTTTGTCCATCCAAGAACTCGACCGCCTTGAGGAGTCCCGTCCTCTGACAACCTCTAAAGCAAACCTGAGAACCCAAACCAAACTCGATTACTTTACCACCCTCAAAAAAGAAGAGCTCTACTAGTTCCAGAGATCTAGAGTCAATTCGCTCAAAGAAGGGAACCATAATACTTGTTTTTTCCACAGGATAGCGAATTGTTGAAGGAGAGATAATTCTATCTCGATTATCAAATCCAATAATAGCTATCTGGTTCAACCTGGAGAAATTGTGTCGGCTATTCTATCTTTTTTCCAGAGCCTTTAAGCTGCGCCACGGGCTCCTAGACCTGCCATGGCCGACCTCAACTTCCATACTTTGCCGAAAGAACAGACTCAATGGCTAGAGCATCCCTTCTTAGAAGAGGAAGTCTTGAAAGCATTAGATGACCTAGCCAATGATAAAGCTCCAAGCCCTAATAGTGGAGGGTGACGCTTTAAACAGCATTACTTGGGCAACCGGGAGATCTATACCCCCTTGGTATCTAGCACGGATTTATGATGAGATTGTATACACCTGGAGGGATATGGTCGTCTTTTGGATGCATACCTCGAGGACATCAAACAAGTTCGCCGAACTCCTAGCGAAGGATGGGGCTAAGGCCCTATG